AGGCTAGAAGTCCAATCTCAGAGCGTCAGCTCCAAGGGAAGTCTTTCTCTGTTGGCTCTGGAGAAAGGTCTTTTTCATCAGTCTTCCTTTGGACTAGGAGCTTCTTCACGCAGGAACTCCAGGCCCAAAGGACATGCTCTGCTTCTGGTGCTGCTCTTTTGGTGGTATGAGGTCCCCCTGTCTCTCTGCTCGCTTCACTCTTTTATATCTAAAAAGAGATTGGCTCAAGACACAATCCAATCTCGTAGATTGAGTCCTGCCTCATTAACATAATTGCCTATCCCACTTCGTTAACATCATAGAGGTAGGATTTACAACACATAGGAAAATCACATCAGATGACAAAATGGTGGATAATCACACAATACTGGGAATCATGGCCTAGCCAAATTGATACACATATTTTTTGGGGACATAATTCAGTCCATAACACACCCATTCCAAAGGAAGGAGATCCAACAGAATGTGGAAATTATTGAACAATATCATTAATATCACACACAAGTAAAATTTTACTGAAGATCATTCAAAAGCAGCTACAACAGTACATTGACAGGGATCTGCCAGAAGTTCAAGCTGGATTCAGAAGAGGACGTAGAACAAGGGATATCACTGTTGATGTCAGATGGATACTGGCTGAAAGTAGAGAATACCTGAAAGATGTTTACCTGTGTTTTATTGACTATGCAAAGGCATTCGACTGTGTGAATCATAACAAATTATGGATAATATTGCGAAGAATGGAAACTCCAGAACACTTAACTGTGCTCATAAGGAACCTGTACTTAGACCAAGAGGCAGTGGTTCGAATAGAACAAGGGGATATTGCGTGATTTAAAGTCAGGAAATGTGTGTGTCAGGGTTGTACCTGTTCACCATACTTATTCAATCTGTATGCTGAGCAAATAATCTGAGAAGCTGGACTATATGAAGAAGAACCCAGCATCAGGACTGGAGGAAGACTCATTAACAATCTTCGTTATGCAGATGACACAACCTTGCTTGCTGAAAGCGAAGAGGACTTGAAGCATTTTCCTGATGAAGATCAAAAACTGCAGTCTTCAGTATGGTTTACTCCTTAACGTAAAGAAAACAAAAATCCTCACAACTGGACCAGTAAGCAATATCATGATAAATGGAGAAAAGACTGAAGTTGTGAAGGATTTCATTTTGCTTGGATCCACAATCAACGCCCATGGATGCAGCAGTCAAGAAATCAGAGGACACATTGCATTGGACAAATCTGCTGCAAGAGATCTCTTTAAAGTGTTAAAATCACATATGTCACTTTAAGTACTAAGGTGCATCTGACCTAAACCATGGTGTTTTTAATCACCTCATATGCATGTGAAACCTGGAAAAGGAATAAGGAAGACCAAAGAAAATCGGTGCCTTTGAATTACGGTGTTGGCAAAGAATATGGAATATGCTAAGGACTACCAGAAGAATGAACAAATCTGTCTTGGAAGAAGTACAGCTAGAATGCTCATTAGAAGCAAGGAAGGATGGTGAAACTTCTTCTCACATATTTGGACATATTATCAGGAGGGACCAGTCCCTGGAGAAGGACCTCATGCTTGGTAAAATAGAGGGTCAGCAAAAAAGAGAAAGAATCTCAATGAGATGGATTGTCACAGTGTCTGCAACAATGAACTCAAGCATAGCAATGATTGTGAGGATGGCACAGGACTGAGCAGTATTTCATTCTGTTGTACATAGGGTTGCTATGAGTCGGAATAGACTCAATGGCACCTAACAAGTTGCTTAACAAATACTTGTTGCTTTTTTATTGGGTTTTAGATGGAAAGGTTCTCCATGAAGAGTTTCATCGTAACCTGATTTTCAATGTTGCTTTCACTCCTTACGGCACCAAGCTCATAACCCTGCATCCAGTGTGAATTCTCAGAATAGCCCCTTGAAATCACATTTCAGTCTAACTTGAGATGTTCTCTAGCCTAGTGGCAGAGAAATATAGCATTGTCTGCTGCCTGTTTGAATGAAACTATAGCTTGATCATAAATTAGTTCTCTGCTTATTCTGAAACTTATTCTCAAGCTTCATAACCTGGGGTGAATTTCTTCTCATGATGCTGATGGGTCACGATAAGAGACAGAGGATGTAAGGACTCTGTGTTGATAGAAGCTTGCATTTTTTTCCCTCCAGTCTACCTCTCCTCCCTCTCTCCCACCACCACCACCAAAAAAAATAAATAAATGAATAAATTTAGGCGTAGTCAAAATAATACAGAACTTTGTTTGCTGAATTTCTGGAAATGAAGCTAGACATCTCATGTCTTTGCGTCCCCCAGAATCTAGAGAAAATTGAATCAATTAAATGTTACTGAGAGGGAAATTAACTGCAGTGAATGTCTTCTGAAAGCAACATGAATAATTTTCATGATCAGTAACTATTATAACCCATTTCGGTTTCAGTCCCTGTGTCCTTATATATGGGAGATTGATTTGCATAATGCAGTACTCAATACGTCTCAGTCTACTCTCAGTAGGCTAATAAACACTAAGCTAAAAAATTTACGTTCATTATTTTATTTTATCTCCACATGAGTCACACAATCAGTGAGCCACAGAGTGAGGATTCCAAGCTAAGACTGTCCTTGTTCTCTCTACTGCCCCATATCTCCTCCACTGAGACACTTCACTATGATCCAGGTAACATAACTTCTTATATGTACACAGAGTCCTCAGAGAAGTTGTGCCCAAAAGTAGAACTAACCTATTTTGTGGATTCTTTCAATTCCCATAAGAGGATCAAACCACCAGCCACACGGGAAATGAGAGAAAAATATTTAATTTTGGTTGGGAATGTTGAACTGAAAATTCATTCTCCACTGAGCCTGGGTGTACCAAGGGTGAAGGAGAGAATTATGAAAGAGAAATGTGATTTCCTTAGTTTCAGAGGGGAGAAATGAATAGATTACAATGAAGTAACATCAGATATGCTGACTCCAGAGATCAAAGAACAAGAAACATATCTTATTTAAAGTAAGCCAGAATGTTTCCTCCAGAGGTTTCTCTGAAGACTACAACTGGAGAAAACTGCTGATTATATTACAGGGGCATTCCAGTGATATATAGGCAGTTCCCAGGTTAAGAAAGAGATCTGATACATTCCTAAGTGTATCTTTAAGTCAAATTTGTAGGGAAGTCGAAACAGGTACGTACAGCTCTTATTTAGCCTTACTTTAGCGCAAGAAAAGGCTCAAAGACTTTTTTAATGATTTAAAAGCTACATGGGCAGCAAGTAAAGGTGATTATGATGAAGGGTTTATTGCGTGTAGGGGTTGGTTCAGTCCTTTGAAAGTGTGGGCAGATTGACATAACATTAAAGGGTAAGTAGGAGTTGTACTTAAGTTGGAACTTCCTAACTCAGGGACTTTACTCTCTATTTTAAAATGTGTTTTACACTGATATAAAAATTCTCATACTTACCTTTAAGGAAAAGTAAAATCAAGAAAGAAAAGGATCTCTGCTGAATATAGAGTAACTCTATTATGATGGGAAAGGTGTAAAGGGTTTCAGTTTTCCTACTTACATGATAGATGACCTTTCAAGTTCATTCCAGCTATGCCTCCTGTGTAACTTGGGGGAGTTAGAGTGAGTGTCTTATCTAAGAAAAGGAATTAACGTTTTGTTTTTGTTTTTTTTTTGCTTCTGCTTTTTATTTTATGGTGAATTTAGAATTAAACAGGAACAAGCATAGGAAGCCAAAAGAACTCAAGTAGTTATGAAAAGTATTCTCTCTGTGAGAGAATAAATTTCTGTTGTTTAAAGCTACTCACTTGTGTTGTTTCTGTCATGGTAGCAATAGATTACTAAGACAGGCTACCAAGCTCCTATATCCCAGTGGAAAGTACGTGGTGCATACATAGATGCTTCTGTGTATGGCAATGTCTGTGAAAATGCAATCAATTCTTCTCCACCCTTCTCCCCAGCCTTGTTCAGTAGATCCTTTATCCCCAATATTAGCAAAAGAATTGCCTTGTCCCATATTTCAATTTTAGACAATATCAAATAATTCCTTGCTGTAAGTCATAAAGGATTTAATACTTCTGTACTTCCTCTGGTACAGGGGTTAAAAGCTTGGCTGCTAATCAAGAGCTTGGCAGTTAGAATCCATCAGCCGCTCCTTGGAAACTCTAGGGGCAGTTCTACCCTGAGATTTTTCTTTTTTTTGTGTTGTTTTAGTGTTTAATACACCTTGCCAGGAGTGAATTTATTTCCATTTAAACTACCTCCAATTCAGTATGTTGGGTGGAAACTGTCTGTTGGTGGTGTTTCCTGGTTCTGTTGTCATCCAGTGAACCTGGGTGCTGGGTGGGAGCTTACACGGCCTTGGCTAGTTGTATCATTTTCATCTGAGATATCTATTCTTTCTTACAATCTGGTTCTCTAAATATTTGAGAGAATTATTGAAAATTCTCAGGGTTTTACCTATAATTTTTTTTTTTTTGTAGATAACGACTCTGGGAAGTTAGGTTAGAATTGGAACCATGCATGAGACTATCCTCTGAGTTTTCCCTTAGTCATCAACTTTATCAATCTTTAACACCCCCCTCTCCCAGAGAGTCAAGTCTTTTCCTTGACATAATTAATTACTTTAGCTTTTAATATTTTGTATGCATTTTGTTAGTACTGGGGAGGAATATTCAGTGGCCTGAATGAATTCTATCATACTTCTTCAGAACTTGTGTCTACAGAGTATGTTTACATATCAATTAATTTTTCATAACTAATAAAGAGTTACGTCTGAAGGCTATTTCCCTGTTATTATTCAATAAATGGTTACTTCCAGAAGGGGTTTTAGTTTGTAATTAATGATTACTAAATTACTTGCTCAAAGACATTCTTTATTAGGCAGCATACACAGTGATCAGATGAAGTGCTTTGGACTTACCATCAGGTCCTGCACAGTTTTTACTATGCTTTTCGTTTTGCACTCTTCTGTTAGGGTTCATATGTGTATACGTCAGTAAAAAAGATGTTTATAGCTTTGTTATGTGTTCATCCCACAAAATGCCATGCTCTGTCTTCTCTCTTACCCTAGCTCAAATGACAAGATATATGAAAGAAACCCAAGGTAGGAATCAAACAGAAGTGACAGAATTTATTCTTTTAGGACTCTCAGATGACCCAGATCTACAAGTGATCCTTTTTGTATTGTTTCTATCAGTCTATACGGCTACTATGGTAGGAAATTTGGGGATGATCATGTTGATTAAGATTGAAGCCTGTCTGCACACTCCCATGTACTTCTTCCTCAGCAGCCTCTCCTTTGTTGATGCCTCCTATTCTTCTTCTGTGACTCCCAAGATGCTGGTGAACCTTGTGGCTGCAAATAAGGCCATTTCTTTCAATGGATGTGCTGCCCAGTTCTACTTCTTTGGCTCCTTCCTAGGGACTGAGTGCTTCCTGTTGACCGTGATGGCCTATGACCGTTACGCAGCCATTTGGAACCCCCTGCTATACCCAGTTCTCATGTCTGGGAGAATTTGCTTCTTCCTGGTGGCTACTTCATTCTTCGCAGGTTTTGGGAATGCAGCCATCCACACAGGGATGACTTTTAGATTGTCCTTTTGTGGATCTAATAGGATCAACCATTTCTACTGTGATGTTCCACCCCTGCTTAAAATCTCTTGCTCTGACACCCACATCAATGGTATTGTGATCATGGCTTTCTCCAGTTTTAGTGTCATCAGCTGTGTTATTATTGTCCTCCTTTCCTACCTGTGCATCCTCATCGCCATCTTGAGAATGCCTTCTGTAGAGGGAAGGCACAAAGCCTTCTCCACCTGTGCCTCCCACCTCACTGCTGTCACCATATTTTTTGGGACGATTCTTTTCATGTACTTGCGCCCGACATCTAGCTACTCAATGGAACAGGACAAGGTTGTCTCTCTTTTTTATACAGTGATGATCCCTATGCTGAATCCCCTCATCTACAGTTTGAAAAATAGGGATGTGAAAGAAGCCCTAAAGAAGGTCTTACAGAAAAAGCATACTGTGAAGCCTGTTAAACATCCTCCTGTTATGTAGAAGAACATATATTTTCTTACTAATTTTATTTCTGATTACTTAAGATCTTTACTTGTATTAAGATAGATGATAATACCACTTGTTCTCTTAAACACATATACATGGGCCTATCTGACAATTCAACACAGTAGGTGGAGTCAGTTGTCTGGTAGAATATTAAAACTTTTGAAATCAACTGGCCTGGGTTTATGTTCCAACTTCAATAGTCAGTTCTTGTCAACCTCAGTTTCATTATATCTACATTGATGTCTCCAGTTGGGTTCCATGAAAACAGACTCAGAAAAAAATATTTATATGCAGGAAGAGTTATTGCAGAATGTTCCCAGGAACAATACCTGTAAGGGGGAAAGGGAAGCAGGACTGTTGCATAGTGATTAATTTGCAAAAAGGATTCAGCCAAGTATATATCTACTCTCCCCAAGCATCCTGGAGTTTTGGAGCTAGGATGGCCTTTCAGAGGTGACCAAGCTTGTGTTAAAAGAATAAGACATTTTTCATCCACAATGACAAGTTCTGGATGTGGGTTACCAACTGGGAGGAGGCATAATCTTGGGCAAGGCAAATCCTTAAAGCACAGGGAAATTCCCAGAGAGAAAATCAGCTGTGAACAATTAGCTGCTGATACATCTGGCAAATAAGGAAATTTTTCCCCTGAAAGGCACATCTGGGTGGTGTACCACAGTATTACTATAAATAATAACAGTTATTCCATTCACATGGATGCCATATGGGAACCACAGCAATGCTGCAGTCACATCTTACAGGCTTTGTGAATTAAATGGAATATTTTAACGGTAGTAATCACTGTACTTTAACTTTTTATCTTTCCCCCCTCAAGGTTTCACATAATTTTCAATAAACTTTTGTAAATTATCTATTGCTCTTTGTAGTGGGATGGAATGTTGTCAATATTGGAGTAATGGGACAACAGTCTTCTTTGATGAGATAGTATGGCAAAAGAGGTCTAAGTAATTATTTGGACATTAAGTAAATGTGTATTTGCTATTTTTTCCATTTCCACCCTCCACTTCATACCATGAGAAAGAACAATATTGTTCTGAATGTTTCAAGTGAGACCATCTCTCAGCCACCTCATCCCTGAAAAATTTGTTAGAGATCACAAAGGAGAAGTTAACTCTTCTCATCCACCCCACTTCCTGTAAGCACAGGAATAGTCCTCCCATCTCCCCATAACTTCCACCTTCTCTTAAACACATCCAAAAGTGTATCAAGCCTGGCATCCTTCTTCCCTCCCTCTCTTATTCTAGTTCATCTACTGTAATATCCACCCTTTAAGTGCTACTTACTAATCTAAGAAAAGAGCAACTTTATCACTATTCATCACTACTTTCATGTGGACATTTCATTCGTTGCCCAGCTGAGATTTCAACGTCCTCATACAATCATTCACTCACAATCGCACTCGATCCCATGGTTCCAGTTTCACTCCATTCTACTCACCTGACTAAATTCCAACCTAGGTAAACTTAATTGTCTCTTCACTTTTGTCCTCCACTTAAGCTGCTTAGTACAATTAAAGGAAAGCCCTCAGCACTCCATTCTCTGTTGCTGATCTTACCTCATATTTCATTCTCCCAAGCATAAACAATCAGATAAGATTGCCCCCATACTACCATGTTTAAATTTTTATACATATACACTTTCATAATGGATGATATGTAAGACCAGCTCTTTCATATGTTTGAAGCTTTCCAAAAGAATTTACTTCTCAAATTATATATCTACTCCCCCCAAGCACCAGTTTTTCACCCTCAACTGGAATATCCTCATTTGTTTACAGATGTGGTCTATCTAGTATCACCTTCTTAACGATGTTGCTGACTGAAAACCCCATCCAGCGGCATATCTATTTCTATGTGCCCCTTTACAATTAATATCCTTAAAAGAACTATTCTAATCATTGTCCCTGCTTCCTCATGTCCCATTTATTCTTCAACAGACTCCAATTGTGCTACTGTACAACTCCATTGACACTAATCTTGTCAAGAACACAGAAGACTTCCACACAACTACATCCAAAGTTACTTTTCTTCCCTATATTCACTTGATATCTCAGGAGGATTTGTCACAATTAATGCTTCCATCTACCTTGAAATACCCTTCTTTAGGTTTCTCTATCACCACAGTCTTCTGGTTTTCTTCCTCCTTCAACAGTCATTTCTTCCCAGTCAGCTTTTGTGGCTCTTTCTCCTCCTAGTTCTGACCTCTAAATCTTAGAACTGAAGACTTAACCCTTAACATTTGATTCTCTAGATGCACCTACTTTTCCAGTGATCTAAGAAGTCTGCAATGATTCCAAAATTCATATCTTCATCCTTGACCTCCCACCTGAGTACCAGATTTATATACTGAATTGAAAACCTGGCATCTAGGGATTTTGGACTCATGAAAGAATTAAGAACTCAGCATTCTTCACTTAATTATCATGCTCAGACACCTATAAAATAATCAGACATTTTGTACAATTAGAGCACCTTAACATCAAATTTACATGTCATTGGGCTTAAAGTATCATTTTGTGTATTGTTACAAATGGTCTTTATTGTCATACTTCTTTAGTTTATGCTTGGAACAAAAATGGGCAGCCTTTATATTTTTATGTATTCATAATTCATTCAAAAACTATTCATTGAATAAGTAGCATGAAATATAAGCTGGAGATATAGCAGGAAAGAAAACAAAGTTTTTGATCTCATGAAACTTATGTTCAAGTGGGGAAGACTGTATTATCTGCATCAAATGTGTGTGTGTGTTTGTGTATGTATGAGTGTGTCACCCTCAGATTTATCACATGTAAATACATATGCTTGTGTGTGTGTTTGATATGGAAATGTGTGGTGTTTGAAAAAAAATAAAGCAGATAATGGAACAGGGAGTGATGGAGTGTTGTTTTGTTAGTGGTGTCATAGAAGAACTCTCTGTGAAAATAACATCGGAGCAAGATCTGAATGAAGAAATGGAATAATATGATATTTAAATATATAGAAGAACATCCTAGGAATATTGTTGTTAGATGCCCTTGAGTCAGTTTCAACTCATAGCTATCCAATGCAAAGCAGAACAAAACTGACTGATCCTGTGCTATCCTCACAATCGTTGCTATGTTTGACCCCATTGTTACAGAGACCGTGTCAATCCATCTCCTTGAGGTTCTTCCTCTTTTTCACTGACTTTCTACTTTACCGAGCATGATGTCCTTCTCCAGGGACGGATCCTTCCTAATAACATGTCCAAAGTACTTGAGATGAAGTCTCACCATCTGCATTTCTAAGGAGCATTCTGACTGTACTTCTTTCAAGGCAAATTTTTCATTCTTCTGGCAGTTCATGGTATATTCAATATTCTTCACCAACACCATAATTTAAAAACATCAATTCTTCTTTTGTCTTCCTTATTCATTGTCCAGCTTTCACACGCATATGAGGTGATTGAAAATACCATGGCTTTGATCAGGCATGCCTTAGTTCTCAAAATGACATCTTTGTTTTTAACACATTAAAGAGGTTTTTTGCAGCAGATTTGCCCAATGCAATACATCCTTTGATTTCTTGACTTCTGCTTCCATGGGCATTAATTGTGGATCTAAGTAAAATGAAATCATGGACAACTTCAATATTTTCTCTTTTTATCATGATGTTGCTTATTGGTCCAGTTGTGAGGATTTTTGTTTTCTTTATGTTTAGATGTAACTCATGTTGAAGGCTGTAGTGAGCTGAAATGGACTGATAGTTGCCATTTTGATTCAGACAATCTTATGGTCTACTATGCTGTGAATGACAAATTGAAGAGGAAAGGTGTCGCATTCATAGTCAAAAAGAACACTTAAAGATCTGTTCTGAAGTACAATGCCGTCAGTGATAGGATAACATCCATACACCTATGAGGAAGGCTAGTTAATATGACTATTATTCAAATTTATGCACCAACCACTAATGGCAAAGATGAGGAAACTGAAGATTTTACCAACTTTTTCAGTCTGGAATTGATCAAACACATAATCAAGATGCATTGATAATTACTGGTGATTGGAATGCAAAAACTGGAAGCAAAAAAAAAGGGTCAATAGTTGGAAAATACAACCTTGAGTGTATCCCACCCGAATTTGGAGACAATCTCAAGAATATATTTGACTCTTTGAACAATAATGACTGAAGACCAGACTAGTTGTGGGATGACATCAAAGACATCATACATAAAGAAAGCAAATGTCATTAAAATAGAAAGGAAAGAAAGAAAAGACCAAACTGGATGTCAGAAGAGACCTGAAACTTGCTCTTGAGTGTAGAGTAGCTAAAGTGAACTGAAGAAATGATGAAGTAAAAGAGCTGAACAGAAGATTTCAAAGGGTGTCTCAAGAAGACAAGGTAAACTATTATAATGAAATGTGCACAGACTTGGAGTTAGAAAACCAAATGGGAAGAACACGCTCGACATTTCTCAAGCTGAAAGAACTTAAGGAAAAAATCAAACCTCAAGATGCAATACTGAAGGATTCTACGAGGAAAATATCGAACCACACACGAAGCATCAAAAGAAGATGGAAGGAGTACATACAGTCACTGTATCAAAAAGAATTGGTCAATGTTCAATCATTTCAGGAGGTAGTGTATGATCAAAAACAGATGGCAGTGAAGGAAGAAGCCAAAGCTGGACTGAAGGCATTGTCGAAAAACAAGGCTCCAGGAATTGAGGGAATACCAAATGAGATGTTCCAATAAACGAATGCAGGCCTGAAGGTACTCACTTATCTATGGCAAAACATTTGGAAGACAGCTACCTGGTCAACAGACTGGAAGAGATCCATATTTGTGCTCATTCCAAAGAAAGGTGATCCAACAGATTGCGGAAATTATGGAAAAATATCATTAATATCACATGCCAGTAAAATTTTGCTGAAGATAATTCAAAAACAGTTGCAGTTTGAACAAAACAAAGGGATACTCCATGGCTTAAGATCAGGAAAGGTGTGTGTCAGGGTT